CATAGAAGGGGTGAACAAATTTTTGGTGGCTTAGACTAATTTGAAGTTGCTCATATGGAGCTGAAAATTTTTGTGACATATTTTCATTCATTCCCAAAAGTAATATTATTTTCTCTCTCTTTTTTGTTTCCTCTGTTGATCTCAGTTGGGCAAAAGTTAAGATCATGGTAAAATTTCACTTCTATTGCCTTTATTAAAGTGTTTGTACTGAGATATTCCATAGATTCATATAAAATATCCTCCTTACTCATAAAGCAGAGTTGTTTCAGAGTTGGGCATTTCTGTTGTTCTGGAGAGATGCTTTTATCGGACTGAACTTTTGGGCACTGCTGCTGTCTGCCATCTTTTTTGCATCTTAAAAGCTAATGATTGGAGATTTATGTGTATTCTTTTTGCTTTGAGATTAGATCCAACAGCAACTTAGAGTCTTAAAGGGAGCTGGTTGACCAAATCACCATTTCCAAACAATCTTCTAAATGCCAATTAAATTAAGATGTTTAGAACGAAGCGGATCTCCTTCATCTGAGCCCATGAAATCAACTGTTCATATAATTCTTTTAAAACAGTGGCATAGGAATTATATTGTCTACATATTTAGGTAATCTTTATTACTTTTCTACTTGTCGATTTGTGTTAGAAATAGAACAGTGACCCTCGTGCATTATATTTGGATGTGCTTAAATTACAATCGTACAGAAGCACACAAGAAAAAGGGACAGTCTTTGCGTGAGTTATTACTTTTACTTTCGATGGGAATCATAAACTTTACTGTGTTATTTGAATGATAAATAGCAGCTCAGTTCCATACCATGTGTTCTTGAAAAGGGAACTTGCAATACTAAAGCTCTATTAGGAGGTGCTTATCAGCAGGGAGACCACATAAAGGGAACGAAAGAACCCATCAGAAGTCATTGAAGACTACTAATTGACTTTTTACTCGCTGCCTGTATCTGTCTCCGTCACTTTCATTCTCTTCTTCTCTCTGCAAATCCTTCAAGGTGAGTCATTATCCAATACCTCTCTATTTCTTCTGGTTTACGCCCAGGAATTCTACCCGCTATCAGGTCCCACCTGAAATGAAGCTATAAACTCAGATGCCAGAAGTAATTGGAAAGCAACGAAGGAGATAGCGGAAGAGAGCAGATTTTATCTCCATTCTTGTAGAGAAAGGTGAGACAATTCTTTAAATCTTTATTGCCTTGAACTTGAACTCAGCCTACCTGTCTCCAATCAGCTTATGCATTCTATGGATAAGATCTTCCTCTTGTGCTGTCATAGTTATAAGCTGCCACCTAGTGCTGCTGACTTCTGCTAGATATAAGCCGCAAATTTCAGAAGGAAAAAAAAAAAGAAAAGAAAAGGGGATTAGAAACAGTATCATAAAAAAAGTGAGGAATTGGGCATGGAAAATAGAAAATTAAGTTGATAAAAGAAACCTTCAGAATCCAGTGGAGTGATTTTAGGTTGTTTCTGTTGACGATGATTGTCCATGTTTTCCCAAAGGAAGATATAAAACTGGGTATGAAAGAATTTTAGGAAAAACTATGATAGAGAGGAAGAGGTTAGAAGCTTGCACAGGGAAATTTAAGTTTCTGTGAATGCCTATATTTTCTTCTGCCCACCAAACTTTAGGAAGTAAGTTTGTTGGTTGACTTGTTGGGTTGGTAGACTTGTAGTTGACAACTTACACAAGGATAAAAGACGACTAAAATATTGCAATCTTAGAGAGAGAAAGAGAGAGAGAGAGAGAGCTGTTGTAGGAAGGTCATCTAGTAGTTTCATTCTTTTAGGTTTAATACAGCTGTGATAGGCACCAACAACTAAACTTGGAGTGGGTTGCTGCCTAAAACTCTCTGAAATCTCACCTTCTTTCTTCTTTCTCCACTCTGATTGTTTTGTTTTAGGCTTTATTCAACTGGTAGTTGAGGAACTGGTCTACAGCCCAGCCCCCTCTGTTGTTGAGTTCAGCTAACCTTCTTCACAAAACTGCACACAGATGACACATCTTATCCTGAATTTTTGCTCAGTATTCCAATTGCACCAGCCCCCCCTCCCAGCTAGGACATGCCAATGAATACAAAATTATTTTGTCTCTTCAGAAAAAACATGTGTAGATCTTTCCCTCCTTCACTCTACTTCACACCTAGAGAGAGAAGAGAGAATAGAGAAGAGAGAGGGAGGATTGATCCACAGTAAATAGTGTCACCTTGAAGAAATCCAAGCAATATATGGACTTATGGAGGCATTACCATACAGTGGGAAAAGGTGAAGGCAGGCAGAATAATGTCAAAATCAGTGGTACCACACAAGCTTCAAGACAAAAAGAAAGACAACTCTTGTAGGCCTTTTTACCATTTCAAAATTCACTCTGCTTCTCTCTCTCCTTTCTGTGTTGTCTAGGAAGAGTCAGTTGCAGCAGACCCATAGCCTCAATTATTCATGTCCATGCTCTACATGCATTATCTTGCCGATTACCTCTCCATTTCTCCAAGTTTTTGGTGGGTTTTGATGCATTCTTATCATTTTGCAAGACAACAATTGGACAAGGCTCAATTATGTCTTCCACTGATTTGCAGATCCAAAGTAAAAAATACTTCAACTTTTACCATTTGTTAAAAAATATATATTTATTCTTTCAAAAGTTTCAAAAATACCTTAAAAATACCTTTTGAATAAATATCTGTTAATATTTCGAATAGGAATGTTCATGTCAAAATCTAGATGGGAATGTTCATGTCAAAATCTAGAACGACGTGATAGTTAATGTGTGAGAACTCATTGATAATTCTTGCACCGTTTCAGATTCTACCACAATTGCCTTTCCATTTAAAGTATTAAAGATAGTATTGAAACTTTTGAAACGAAAGGATTATATTATTATTTTTTGTAATTTAGTCTAAATAATAAGCCTTAGCCTATTGAAATAACATATTTACTTTAAAGGATAATCTGAAAATTGTTGGGTGATTTGGTTTGTCAATGTGAGTTTCATTACTTCAAATGATAACAAATATCGTAAGGCCGTTTGTTAGTTTTTGGTTTTTTGTTGTTCTTGTTTTTAGTTTTTGGTTTTTGGCTTTCTATTCTTAAAAAGCAAAAACCATATGCGTTTGATAACCATTTTTTGTTTTTTTGTTTTTAAAAAGTTATAAAATTTATAATATATATTAGAGAGAGAATTTTATACAGAGTAGAGATGACAATGATATGAGTGCGAGTGAGGATGCTCTCTACATTCTCGTGCTCGTGAAAATTTTTAGTCTTCGTCTCCACCTCGTTCTTGGGTTCGAGAGATATTCTCAAGAAAAATTATCGGGTTTATAATTGTTTTTAATTATTTTTAGAATTTAGGTATAAAAAAGTGTAATAAATACATATTAATTATTTAAAAAATGAAATCGGGACAGGGATGTCCCGGGGACAGGGTCAAGGACATGCATTTCCTATTTTTGGGACATGATCCTGCAGAAATTTTTGTCTATCTCCTCACATAGAGACATGAAAATACAAGTTTGGAGAGGTGTAAATAAACTTTTGGAAGATAAATTTTAGAGAGATAAATAAAACGATTTTGAAAAAAAAATAGGGAAAGAAAAGTTAAAGACAAACAGACAAAAAAGTATAGTTGAGAGGAAAAGAGATGTTAAAGAAAAAAAAATTATAAAGAAAGAGAAAAAATATAGTGGAAATAAATTTAGAAATAAAAACAAGATTCAAGTTATAATGTTTAGAGAAAATAAATAAATACAAAGACAAATAAAAGTTCCCGTGAAAGAAAATTGAACGAGAAAATAAAATATAATTTTTCAGAAGAAAAATAGATTACGAAGAGAGAAAAATTATAAAAGATGAAATTTTAGAGAGAGAAAAATAAGGTTGGTAAAGAGAAATTTAGAAATAAAAAAATTTTAAAATGAGAAATAATTTTTTAGAGATAAATATGAGAGAGAAAAAAATTAAATATTAAAAGAAAAAAAATCAGATTTTGAAAAACAAAAACATGAATCGGTTATCAAACAATTTTGTTTTTTGAAAAACCAAAAACTAAAAACAAAAACAAAATGGTTTTCAAACGGGCCCTTGAACTAAAAGAAACGGAGGAAACGGAGGAAAGGGGGGAAAGCGAGGAAGAAACAGATGTAGAAATAGAAACCACTTCCGAAACGAAGGGGACTAAACAGGAACAAGAGGGATC